TCTTCTTTCAGAGTGAGATGAACATCTAGCTCTATCCAGGGATTCCCAGGCCTCTTTCCCTGACTTGTTAAATATTCATCGCATCCTCATCCTTGAGGCAGCAGTGGAGTCTTAGCCATTAGCTTGGAACCCTGGCTTCTGATGTTTGGAAGAAGCCTCTGGCCCTGAGGATTCCCTATTTGTTCATCCTGGGAAAAGGAAGGGAGAAGCTATAGAGTAGGATTTGAACCCTGACCAGGCCACGTCCAGAGTTTTGAAGTAGCTTTTGCTCTGCTCTTTCTTGTGCTTCACAAGAATGCACGGTGGGGTGTATGAACCCAAAGGCTGAATGTTAGATCAAAAGAAGAGGAGTGGAGAGGCAGAGCTGTTCTCTGGGTGCTTGCAGATCCCGGATGTGCATTTGAGGTGAGGCTGGCAGCCAGCATTAAGCGTCCTCTATACAGGCAACTGGGCAGTGCAGCTCAAGATCTGTAAAATGTTCAGATTCTTTGACGCAGTAATTACAATCTAGGGAACTTACACTCTCATCCTTAATTTAAAAAGGAGGAAATACTGGGGCTGGAGAGATGGCTCAACAGTTAAGAACACTGACTGTTCTTGCAGAAGACCTGGGTTTGAATCCCAGCACCCACATGGCAGCTAATTGTCTGTAACTCCAGTTCCAGGGGATCTGATGACCTCTTCTGTCCTCCTTGGGCATTACACAACACAGGTGCACTTACATACATGCAGGTAATACATGCATACACACAAAATAAAAATAATAATAAATAAATAAATAAAAAGGAGGAAATAAAGGAGAGATGGCCGTCTTGGCAGTAACAGTCAATAATAGCCTGCTGGGGTCTGTAGAGTTTCCTGTACAGTATTTATGAGAGCTTCATGATAGCCAAAGAAAGCAGGTACATTCTTAGCTCCATTTCCCAGATATGAAGTGGGAGTCTGGAGAGACAGAGCGAGTGGCCTCAGTTCACCGGCTCTGGACTCCAGTGTGTGCATCCTTGATAGGCTTGCCTGGAAACTCAGGGTGAGGTGATGGGAATTGAGAAATTTTAGGAGGGAAGTAAGACTGAGAACAGTTACTCAGCTTACTCTTTGCTTAGTTCAGACAATAGTATTTTGTAAATTCTGAGTTAATTCTTATAACACATTTGTGGAGAAACTGAGGTTGCAAGAGGTTGAATAATTGCATAAGTTGTAGAACAGGTTTTGAACCCCAAGCAGGCTATGTGTATTCTGAGTTTTGAGATGACTTTGGCTCTGCTGTTTCCCTGTGCTTTTCAAGAATGCATCATGAGATGAATGAATGAAGGAAGGAAGGAGTGTATTGAAGGGGTGAGGACATGAGAAGCAACTTCTGCAGAGAACTAGACACCAGGATCCCCATGAATTACAGGTTCTTTCTCAGAGCTCTGCAGCTTCTGCATGCAGTAGTTGCCCAAGCGTCCCTCAGGACTGCGGTTTTGCTGCCCTGAGGCCACACTTCTCCAAAACCCTTTGTCTAAAGACTCTCTCTTCTGGCTTAGCTCATCCCTTGCAAAATGCTCAGAGCTGAGCAAGCCTAGGGTCAGGCAGGCATGTTGGATGTGGACCTATAGCATCTGAAGGAAACAACTATTACAGCATCATGAAATACTCTGCAGCTATTGCAACAGTGGAGAAATATGAAAAAGACTTGGGAAACAGTTGCACACATCCGAAGATGCAGTTAAAGCAGTGTGCTGTTACGTGGATAAAGGTTGGAGGAGAAGAGGAAAGAAAACAGTTTAAAGATAATTGGGATCTGGTGGTGACACCATCCAGTTAGTTTTCTAAGCTAGGAACCTTGGGGTGAGTCCCCACAGCTCCTGTTTCCTTTTACCTCAGACTCAGTCACAAATTCATGACCATTTTGTGGGTACGTATCTTAATTCTAGAACTCATTCTTTCTTTGATCAGGCTAATGTTGGTTATTTTTATTTTCTGGCAGTGCTATGCTCCAGGACTTTGAGCATGCTAGCCAAGTGCTCTACCACTAAGCTATACCCCAGAGTCAGGCTGCTACCTGCTGGGCCCCTCTAGAGCTTCTTAGGTGCTCTACTGGCCTCTATTATGTCTCCCATAGTCCATGTTGAACACTATGTTCCAGGTGATCTTGATAGGAGATATATTGGATTCTGTTTCTCCTTTGGCTGCAGCAGTCTTTTTACCTGTTACTGTGTTCAAATTCTAATGCCACAGCATGGCTGAGGAGGTTCTTTGCAGTTTTCCTGCCCTTCACTTCACCCTCTTAGCCCAGTGTATCAGAGGATCCCCTCCCTTGGCTCCTCTACCTTTCTTTTCTTATTCTTTCCTTATCTCTTCAAGACTACCCACAAAGGTCCCAGCTTTAGCAAAACCTTCAGAGCTGTTCCAGGGAGAGTTCATTCTTCTCTCTTAACTTAAAAGTCATTCTCTGTTGTACTTAAAGTCACAGCCCTTTCCCTTGCTAAACTCCCAGAGCTCTCAGAGCAGCGATCCTATGATCTTACTACCTTCTATCCCAGACCCTCCCATGGTGCCTGGTAATGGAGGGGATGATTTCAAATAATTTTGGTTGAATGAATCAATGATTGGACAAAACAGTTTATTCATCGTAGCATTTTAAAATTGTATTAATAATAAAAATTTCAAAGAAAAAAGCATTTAAACGAGCAACGTGCTCTTTTGAAATTGAAGAGAGTAGTCAAAGGTAATGCAGGGTACATGGAGAAGCAGATAGATCACAGAGCTGAGAGATGGAATTCAAATCCTGATATGTCATATACCAAGCTCTGCATCCCTCATTTATAAAGTGAATCTGAAAACAGTACCATACGGGACACCTTTGAAAAGGAAAGGAGGAAATGCAAGTCCAGGGCTGAGTACAATATTTGGAACAGTGTAAGGATTCCAGAAATGCTAGGTAGCTATCATGACTGCAGCATCACAGACTGGCCAATCCTCTTGTATAAACATCTTCTTGGTGCCCTTCTGCTTCATTTTGTCATCTAAAATGTCTAAAGCTTTTGGCTTCACTTGAAATGTGATCGCAATCAGGCAGAATGATGGCGAAAGAATTGTGGAGGAATAAACACTTCTGGTAGGAGCCTTGTTTCCTGAGCCAGTTTCTCCACATGGGTAGTGGTGGATGGAACTTGTTTGTGTCTCTCTCCCAGACCAGAAAGGGATCCTGGGTAGATGAGGGGAAGCTGATGAAGAAAAGCTGCCTTGAGAGGGGCATTCCATGCTCTCCAGAGACTCCTATTTTAATGTTGCTACTCATCAGTAGATCCTTGCAGGAGTATAGGCTCCTCAGGCTGGTGCCATGGCTGCATTGTTCCCCAGGGACAGCATTAGGGTCCATGGATGAAAATTACTGGGCACCAGATTCCTGCTCAGTGTGAAACAGCAGGTTCCTCATAGAAGAAGCTGATTGCAATGAAGATCTTCCCATAACTGGAGCCACTGTGTCTCTTTCATGACTCTCCTTACGGGTTTCTGTTCATTATGTATTACATATGTTTTGTCTCCATGTAACTCAAAAATGAAGACAGGCTGACCAAAGCAAAGGCTTCCCTTCAGGAGTGGGGCCAGGAGTGGCTTATTGGCCACACACATGGAGACTAGTGGTTGTGGGATGGTTGCTGTTCCACTAGAGAATTGGTTCATGATTAGGGTTTCGTAGATATTTTTCTTGGGTTCATAAATCTGAAATCACATGCAGATTTATGTTTACGTGCCCATCATCCTGGGGAGGAAAGTCCATCCTTTATGTTGTGAACTATTTATTTCCATCTTAGTGCTTTGCTCAGCAAACTGAAAATACTCCTGGGAGGGGTAACATTTCAATGCTAATAAAAAATTTCTGGGGCCTGGAGACATGGTTCCGGGGTTAAGAGCACTAGCTGCTCTTGCAGAAGACCGGGGTTCGAATCCCAGCATCCAGATGGCAGCTAACAACTGTCCTTAACTCCAGTTCCAGGGGATCTGACATCCTCTTCTGACCTCCGCGGGCATTGCACGACATGGGTGCACTTATATACATGCAGACAGCACATGCATATACATAAAAATAATAAAATATTCGGGACTTTCACAGCAAGATTCGGATGAGCTAGGCGATAAGACGGTTTCGCATGTACAGGGAAAGGGAGAATTTATTTTCCAAGAGTGACAGGAATTGGGGAAGTGATGAAGTGGCTTCACCTCTGCCACACCCAGAACAAGGGTCTGATTGACCTGAAAGTGCGGTGTGAGGCAGGCCCCGTCTCAGGTGCAGTCTGAGTCTGATTTCTGTCCTCAGACTGATCACTTAACGTCTCCCAAGGGCGTTCTGGCGATAACGGGTGCATCCATCTCTGGGCTCTGGGGAGCCTGTCAACTCGAGGGAGGCTTACTACCTGACCCGAGGGAAAAGGCATGCATGCTGCCAGAAGCCCAGCAGCTCCAGGTGTGAGGTGCAGGAATGAGTTTAGCCCCTAGCAATGCAAGCATAGAGCTGCAGTGTTGGTCTTCGAGCTTGCTGTCCTAAGGGTGGTCCCCACCACCTCTGAACCTGCCTTACTCCTACACTGGAAGACCCCTACCGTGGGCGAAGCTGTGTCCCGGCTTAGGCGCGGCCCCTTTAAGGGAGGGCGTGGCCCTGGTGGCGTGGCCACGCCCCCTGGCTCTGCGGCCAGCCGTCCGACCACCTGTCTCTGGCCACGCCCCGCCCCTTTCCGGAGGGGAGGGGGATAAGGGGGCGGAGGACGGCCCAGGGTTTACCTTGCGGGGCGGGCTCAGGGCGCATGCGCAGGGCCGGACAGGTCCGCGCGTCCTCACTTCCTGGCAGTCTCCCTCCCCTCCTCGTCGCCGTTACCCTGTACATCCGGGTCACTCGCCCTCCCCACCCGGAGCCGCTGCCGCCGCCGCTGCCGCCTGGCTCGTTGCAGCACCGCCACAGGGGCAGGTGCGGAGGGGCTCTCAGTCCGCCGCCCGCTCCGCCCGTCTGGGCCCGGGGCTCCCCCTAGCGCCGCCGAGGAGCCGCGGCTGGAGGCGCCGCCGAGGGCTGAGCGCCGAGGCTGCGGCGGGTGAGTGACCGCCACTGCTTTCTCCTCACGCCCCTCGCGGGCCTGGCGCGCCGCCCTCTGCCCTGCCTGAGCCGCCTTCCGGCCGTCCCCGCCGTCCATTCATTCGCTTTGCTGTCCTTCCGCCCGGCCACGCCGCCCCTCACGCGTGCTCGGCCCAGGCCGCCCGGAGCGCACCCCGGCTCGGACCCCGGCCGCCGCGGGCCCGCGTCAGCCCCTCGCTCACCGGGCCACCTGGGCGGTTGGACCTTCCGGTTCCCCAGATGCTCAGCCCTAGGGTGTGGTCCTAGCGGGAGCACAGTCTACTAACTCCCCCAAATCCGAGACTGGCAGAGTCTCCTGAAGGTGGCAGTGGGTGTGGGCGTGCGACGGGCAGAGGGGGATCTGGATTGATGGATTGGTGGAACCTCAAGGCTCCTGGGGGCTGTTCTCGCCCTCACCTGTATTTGGTCCATGAATTGGCCCCAGGTATAAAATCTAGACAGACGTGTTTCTTTCCATGATGCCATGCGTGCTTTGCAGCATCACCTGTTTGCACTTTCTTAGTGGGACTTTTCCTGTCCCATCTGTCAGCATGCCTAGCAATCGTTCGCCCTGGTCCCCTCCCCTCGTCCGCTGGTGTGGGGGATACTGCCTGAGCACTTGCAGAACCATACTACGCCCTTCTGGATAAAGCAGAGCGTTCTGAAAGTTGTTCACATTCTGGCCGTTTCCTGTAACTTTATATAGAGTTTGATACCTTTTCTCTTTTAACTGCTAGGTGAGAAATGCATGCCTGTCAATTTTGTGGTCTTTTAGTCTTGCGGTTTGGTAGACTGGTAATCTAAGGAGCGTTTCCCTATACATGACGGAATTTCAGTCTCTTGGGTGTTGGGTGCCTTATTGGCAATTAATTTTAGATGAACGTAGCTTAAGAAAGCACACTGATCCTTTAAATCCTGTAATTGTGTTTAATAGAAATAGAAACTTTGTGTCCAGAATGACTTGATAGTTGGAGCTTATTTGATAGCCTGTTTGTAAAGTGTTGCAGCTAACCGAGTTTTTTAGCCTCCTTTGCGTTCATAAAATGAAATGACAGCATCCCCTACCTCCCGGACTTTGATAGTCCATCATAAGGATCTCCAAAGCACAGACACCTGGGTGTCGCTTCGATGAAGCTGTTGTTGTAAATATCGAGAGCAGTGCTGTCAAATCATTTTCTTGCTCTGAGGAGCTAGGGGTTTTAAGAGTACTTGGTTTTTACTTTTTTCTTTAGGTTTTTGAGTAGCCACTTTAGTAGTAGATACCTTTTCGATTTGTGTGTGGGTGTGTGTGCAGGAATGAGTTTGGAGGGCAGAGATAGCTTTGTGGAGTGGGTTCTCCCTTTTCTCCTTGAACATGGGATCCAGGGATTGAACTCTGGGCACACTTAAGCCTATTTACCCCGTCTCTCTTTCTTTCCCTCCCCCAGCAGAGTAGTTTTGCTAGATAATTATAATTTTAAAACTTCTTTAAAACTTTAATAGTGACATAGCAGCCTTGGAGGAAATTCTTGCTTTGTAAAATGCCAGTGGTTTTGTAGTGTAAACTGGATTATATGTGCTTGAACAGAGGCTAGATTTTTTTTCTTTCCTAAAAAAAGTGGCTATTTGATGAAAGGGAGATATGATACATTGTTTCTGGTTGCCCTAGATGCTAATTAGGTAAAGGTAAGTGAGGGCAGTTTGTTATTTTTACAGAGTATAGATGATATTGAATAGAATTTAAAAACTCAGTTCTCTTGAGTTAATTAATGCATATTAAATGGTACCATTCTCAAGATTATTTCACTCACATTTGAAGTGGTCATTTAGTGTTATTTAGTAGTGTAAGTGTTACTTACTTGATGGGGAAGTCCCAAGGGATGGTTATTCTACTTTACTCCTAGTCTCTTTAGGGAAAACACTGGATTATCACATATGAGGTTGCTTCACTCATAAGTATATACTTTACTCTTTACTGTTTAAGGAAAATAAGTATAATATTTGAAAATATTTAATTATGCTGTTGGTGACATTCTTCCTTTTATTTTGGGTTATTCCTTTCCTGTGATAGTAGCCAGCAGTCCCTGCCTCCTTGTTCAGTGGATACACTGTTACTGTTTTGGAGGGTTGCATTAATGGCAAGGCTAAAGAGTCAGACTATTACAGCATTTTGTAATCTTGTGGCAGAAGTTTTAGGGAAAGATGATTGCTCTGAGTTGCAGGTTCAAGAATCTTGCTTATGTTGAATTTTACTTTGTTGGGTTCTTTAAATTATTGTGGGATCTTTAGGAGACAGAGTAGAATAGACATGCCATTTGTGTTGTGTTTTAGTTTGTAGAATGGGTTTGTTTACTTAGAATGGGTATTTGATATATTTCTTGTTAACATTCATGAATAATAATTAATTGAGAGAATTTCTTGTGCGTTTAAATTTGCTAAAAGTTGGCATGAAATTTTTTGGTTGTATGAGCTCATCCTATTTTATCTATTCACTAACTTTGATTAATTTTTCTTTTTGGTCTTTTTGAGGCAGGGTCTACCTGTAGCCCCAGCAGGCCTGGAACTCACTGTGTAGACCTGGCTGACCTTGAACTCACAGAGATCCTCCTGCCTCTGCCTCTGGAGTGCTGGGACTAAAGGCGTGTGCCACCACACCCAGCTTAAATTTGATTAATTTTTCAAGAATTTTTTTCGTATTGTAGAATTTGAAGGCATAATCCAATAGTGTAGTGATAACTTTTGAGTGGTCATGTGGATGATGTTACCAGTAGCTTACATGGCCTTCGGGTCTACTGCAGCCAAAGCCCATGGTCTAAGGTATGACTTAATCTTAAAGTAACCTTGTTAGTTAAGTACTAGTGCTTCTGTCTGATAAATGCGGAAACAGGTTAAGTAACTAAGTAACTGCCAAGTGCTCCAGCGAGGTCCTGGCTTTACTGTCCTGTAATGCTGAACAGCTGCCCTACTTAAGATCTTCACATATACTAAATTAGTTTGATGACAACCTTGTAAGATGGATGCTAATTTCTAGTTAATACTTGATTAATATTAGGAAAGTCAGGCTCAAAGAGCTTAGGATACTTGTTCAAATAGCTTCTGAGTAGAATGTGGAAGACTAATCCTTGAATCCAGGCCTTTATGACATAATCTTTTCTAAAATGTAATTTCAAGATACTGATTTGAGCTCTTATAGTTTACATTCAATATTTAGAGGGTCCCCCCCCCCCGGTCTTTTTGAGACAGGGTCTCCCTGTAGCCCCAGCTGGCCTGGAACTCACAGAGAACCCCATGCCTCTGCCTCCCGAGTGCCGGGATTAAAAGCGTGTACCACCATGCCCGGCTGGAGGGTATTCTTAAGACAGGGAATCTAGAACTTTTCAGCCACCGCACAGAATAGGTATTCCCTGTATTCCCCTCAGAATGTATACAAGATGATAATTTCCTGCTCATTAGTCAAAGCTTCCTCCCCTTTTACTCATGCAAGTAAATGGAATGCAACCCAGTGACATTTGCAAATCTCTTTAAACAGGAAATCATTCTTAATGTGTTGGAACTTTAAATATATACATTTCTTGTGTCACATTTGAACAGTGATCATGGGTGCGAAGGACTGATTACAGTTACCCTCTTGAGGGATTTTAAGCAGGAGACCTAATGCAAAGCCATAATTTTTAGATGTTTTGAAACAGTAGAGGCGCAGTAGTATGCATCGTGTGGGATGTTCTGCTGTTTAGGTTATTTTCCGCCATGCAGTGATCTCCGTGTGATGTTTTCTGTTTAATGCTTTATATGTGGTATATATTAAATCCTGGACCAGTACAGATTTTTCAGTGTCTAGCACACATCTAATCATCAGTTGGCATGCTCAGGCAATCCAGATGATATTGAATACTAGGCTAGATGAAACATTTTCAGAGAACATTTACTATGGAAAGGAACATGACATTCTCAGATAATTGGGGATGACTTTATACCATTCCTCTCTTAGTGTGGGTAATGGAGACTGAGTGCACTAGTTTAAACAGAACCTGAGGTTTAACTAGGTCTAGAGTCTTTTCCTTCTTTTTCTGCTGGAGGCTAAACCAGGGTCTCACTCTTGCTCAAGCATGTGCTCTTCTGCTGAGTACATTCTTAGTTCCTTGAAGGACACGTCTCCATTTTTCTGACTTTGTACTCTTAGACGTTTTTGTCAAAATTGTAGTACTATAATATGGATAAAAATAGTACTCTATGTGTGGACAAAAACAGGACATGTCTTAGTTTTGTCTTGTCTGAAATACAAAGATCCCAAGATTATAAAATGAGAATACCAAGTTTACACCTTTAATCCCAGACTTGTGATGTAGAGGCAGGAGGAGTTCAAGGCCAGCCTTGGCTACATGAGACTCTGTCTCAGAACAAATAAGTCTCCAAAACAATAAAATGGGAATGCCAGTGTCCCTTATGAGCCTCATGAGGTCATTGTGGTTTTCTTTTTTGTTGTTGTTGTTTTGTTTTTGTTTGAAACAGAGTCTCAAAACTCAACTGTGTAGACCAGGCTGGCTTAAAAAAATTTTTTAAAAAATTTCACATAATATATCTCAATCAAATTTACACCCTGCCCCCTCCCTGGACCAGGCTGACTTTGATCTCCAGAGATCCATCGGTCTCTGCCTCCCTAGTGCTAGGATTTTAGGTGTGTGTTGCTATATGTGGTGTTATTGTTGTGAAATTTTTATAATTTCAGTGATAATACAACTGAGAAGGCCAGATATAAATTCTTTTCTTTTATCGACACCCAGCACAGTACTTGGTGTGTAGGTGGCCATTAGGTTAGCAAGTAGTTGATTAAGTACAGAGCAAGGTATGAGAGTGAAAAAAAAAATACTTGTGGTCTGGTCTTATAGTATAAGATGCAAAGTAGACAATGTGGTTTATGTAGGTTACTTTTTTTTTTTTTTTTTTTTTGGTCTTTTTGAGACAGGGTCTCCCTGTAGCCTTAGCTGTCCTGGAACTCACTAT